AAAACAAAACAAAAAGCGCACCCCTAACGGGCCACACTTTTCACAAAAAAAAACCTATTAAGAAAAAAAAAAAAAATGAGGACGCTTCCCACACCCGCCTTAAGAAAATATCAAGGCTNCCCCTAACGGGCCACACTTTTCACAAAAAAAAACCTATTAAGAAAAAAAAAAAAAATGAGGACGCTTCCCACACCCGCCTTAAGAAAATATCAAGGCTAACGAACCAGCACCAGGCACTACGCACCAGGGCATGGGAGTAACGGAGCAAACAGGACAACGAGGCGGCAGATGGGCAGACAGCCAGACGTACAAAAACAAAGACAACAGCAAAAAAAGCGAGATCAAGGTACCCCACACAGCAGAGTAGGCAGGGAGGTTATTATGAAAAAAAAAGAAAAAACACAGCCAGACAGAGGCCGAAGGCAATACAAAAGGACATACATACATACATACATACATACTACATACAGCAGGGAGGGAATATGTAATAACCCCTGGTTGGCCGGAGGTTACACAACGCCCCCGTACAACCGTGCCCACTGGCCACCTGTCTGTGCCGTGTGACGAAGTTGTATACAAATAACAAATAGTCTATCTATCTATCTATCTATCTATCTATTATCATCTATTTATTTATATATATATTATTATGCCGTGGAACTACAGAGGACCAGGAGTAGTAGTAGCAGCAGCAATGAATGGTGCCGATTTAAATGCGGGCAACTCCTTTAGTTTTCCATCCATTGAATATAATATTCCATCGCCCCGGTTGGTCTTCTAGGTGTGGTATCCTCGAAACATTCTAGAGGGCAGGTCAGTCAGGGAATCGAATCCCGGCGTATGCGAGCTTTTTTTCTTGGTGAGTTTTCCTCTCGCTTCCGCTCCTGGCCTAGTAGTGGATAGCGCTATAATAGTTTCGTGGACACAAAAAAGGGGAGGTGCTGAACTCTTCTCGCATTAAAAATCGAAGGCAAAGTACCGCAGGAGGAGAGGGTAGATCGGGGTTCTTCTGTGTGACCGCGGGTTGGAGGAGTAGAACGGCACTAACTACAACTAGTTGTGAGCGCTGATATGAACTGAAAAATATACATCCCGCGAGTTCACCAAGTAGCGAGGTGGGTAATAAAGGCCATTTTTTTTAAAACTCGGGTATCGATCCCCCACGGAATTCACGGGGCCCCTTGATTTTTTTTTTGAATTGCATTGCTCTGCCGCGCAGCAACCGGAGCTCTCGTTTGAGCACCACAGCGTCGCACGCCAAGCATTCTACCCCGAGATACAGCCGAGGGAGCCACCACAGCTCCCGCTGTCAGCCACCTTCGTCGTTCCCTTGGGATTTTTGCTAAGCATGACCCGGCGCAAGGTGGACGAGGAGCAGGTTCGGAAGGCCTATGCAGCGATAGGTGATGGCATGTCGGTTAGGAAGGCTGCTANAGGTTCGGAAGGCCTGTGTAGCGATAGATGATGGCATGTCGGTTAGGGCTGCTGAGGTCTTTCTTCGGGGTTGGTCATATGTCCATCGAAGACCGCCGCCGTGGCAAGGTGGCCATGAACGCGAAGGTTGGTCCCGAGACCATCCTGAGCAAAGAAGAGGAGGATTCGCTGGAAGATATTCTGCTGTTTGCTGCTCGCAACTTCTTGGCTGTGGATCGGGTTCACCTCAGAGATGCGGTGCGACGACTCTGCAACGACGGTCGGCGGATCCCTTAGGATCCAGAGAAGGGTCCGAGGAAAGATTGGCTTGCGGGCTTCCTTCGTAGGCACCCACGGGTGGCGGAGCGCTCGACCCGTATCTACGAGGCAAACGGGATCACCGAGGACGACGAGCCTCGCATGGTACAGTCCTACGAGAGATGGGCAGCTCTGCTCGACGAGGTCAATCCGGAGGCCAACCACGTGCACAATACGGACGAGACAGGTGAAGATTCGCTCGTAGACTAGTCTATAATAGTGCAGACTAGTCTACAGCAGTAGTAGACGTGTGGCAGCAGTAGAAACTGCGCGGGTGACTGCTGTGCAAAGACCACGAAACATGTCACACAAAAAATAAATGAAGAGCCACCGCGTGTTCCCCCCTCCCGTCCACCCCCGTAGCTTGGCGCGCACGATATTGACTGCAAGTGTTTGGGNTCGTCTAGACTAGTGTAGATAGCCTACAGCAGTAGTAGGGATCCGCCGACCGTCGTTGCAGAGTCGTCGCACCGCATCTCTGAGGTGAACCCGTTACTCGGTGGCCTCTTGACTCAAAGGAAGCGCGCGAAGAAGATGGCGACCTCGCGGGGCTCGCTTGGCCTTCCCGACGGAGGCAACATTACCGCGCCTGAGTTCCTGGACGCTGTTGCCGGAAAAGAACGCGCAGACAAGGCGGAGAGCGACGCGAACGCTGCGAGGGCGAAAGTCCGCGAACAGAAGAGGGCGGAAAAAGCGGCCGCGGAGCTGTTGCGGCAGGCGCGCATGGCCGATAGTGTTCGTGTGTCTGGATACGAGCATGGTAGATCTGCTAGCAGCACGGGGGGGTACGTAGACAGGAGCATGCGTATGCCTGAAAAAGGCTACTATGTGTGGGCCCCCTTCCCCGAATTCGGGACGGCCACTTCTTCCCTTCCTTTCCTCGCTCCCGTCGGTGCATAATCAGAGAGAGTTAAAGCGTGTCTTCTCCTCCCAAGTACGGACATACCAACACACTAGTGTTTATTCCCTCGAGGGAGTCCATTAGGGATGGCGGGCCGCAGAACCGGAGGGACCACTCCGGACGGCTCGCAGGCAGGAGACACAAATAGCAGCGAGCAGATCGACAGCATGCGGTCTGAGATCAGTTCGCTGACACAGCATATGGGTCAGCTGGTGCACCTGGTCGGAGGATTTGCTGCACGTATAGAGGAGAAGTCCGGCGGTGCCACGGAGGGCGCCGCTGAAAGCGGCGGCGCCGTGGAGAGCGTCGCCACAAGCACTGCAGGTCATTTTGGGACCGTGCAGTACGACGGGAGCGCGCAGGCAGCGGACCTGCGAAGAGAGTCTGGTCCTTCGGGACGACACAGCGGCGAAGTAGGGGGTTCAGACCCCCAAGAGGTGAGAGTAGCCGCTGCTCACAATCAAGCTTGTTTCAGCAGCGCCATGGGAAGTGGTGCTGCTGTCTTCGATAGTGCCAGCGTGGGATACCAAAGCGTGAAGTACACAGCGCCCACGTTCAGCGGAGACGCCAAGAGCTTTTCTTCGTGGCTAGAGGATTTTTTGATGGCAGCGAACACAGCAAACCTTCTTGAGCTTTTCGAGGAGGTGGAGGCGGAGATCCCCGTAAACAGTGGGCAGAGCAAAGTCCAACTGTCCAGGTTTTACCCGCACGACAAAGTAGAGCTCGCTTTCCACGCGTGGAATTTCCTCCGTGGAGCTCT